CCTGATCTTGCATCAGGAAGTGTGACTCCCGGGATCACAACCGCCCCAGGTCCTCCGCTGCTCTCCCGGGGACTCGGGGAGGGGTGCCATGTGAGGGATGGTTTCTGCACCCTGGCACCCCACAGTCATCATCTCCATTCTTGGCCCCTCACGGGAACTTTCCCCTCAGCAGCGCCCCACTTCCTACTCAGCTTCTGACTCACTCCACTTGGAGCGGAGCCCAGCACCTGGAAGGGCATAGAAAGGGTGTGTGGGACCTCCATGTGGCTGCCACCACTGACGTGGCCTCTGCTTCTTCAGCGGAGGAGAGGACTTGAGGGTGTAGGTTTCGCACCTGGCTCTGGACTTGGCAAGTAGCATAACCCCTGGGAGCCTCAGTTTCCACATCTGTTAAATGGGGGCAGTGAGAATGCATGTGAAGGGGGTGGTCAGCGCCATGATGGTTATTGAAATTTATCTCACAGAATTCTCCCAGCTGAGTTGCTGTCTCCATCAAGTAAAAGATTACAGTGTTCATACAGACACTTTGCATCTTGGAAGGAACATTTGCTGAACTTCTTTTAGAAGCGGGGTGTTGGAGAACCAAAGATGGTTTCTGTCAGAAATAGGCCGGGGGGCAGCTGATGATAAAGCCAGCTTCATTTTGTCATTATGAGTAGCTTACAGAATTTTTGTCCTCTACTTTGAGGTGGTGGAGGACCTCATGAATTGGGTCAGGAATGATGGGGCATGGCTGAATTCCCGGTCCTTCTGTGACTAATGTATTGCTGGGTTTAGACAGTCTGTCCTTTTCCTCCTTCCAAAAAATTCACATTAATTGGCATTTCTTATCTGCTAGTCGGCAGCATTGTAAGTTCATTCATTCCTGAATGGTCATTCTCTTGAGTAAACATTAGGGCCTTTTGGTGCCAACCCCCTACGACCCCACAGGTGTGGAGGTGGAGCTGACCTCTGTCCATGAGGGCAAGGAGACAGGAAGCCTAAGGGCCTACATTTTTTTTTTTTTTAATGATTTTAAGAGTGAAGAAGCAACTGGGGAGAGCCTAGGCAGGGCTGCTTTGACTCACTGAGAAGTCAGAGAAAAGGGGGCCTTGGAGACGGATTCAGGGGGTGAGCCTGGGATGAGCTGCTGCTGTCCATGGCCCCCCTGATTACAAGTCTCCTGGGGGTCCCTTAGAGTTACTGTCAGGGAAGAAGAGGGGGAAGGGAAAGGTGCAGGCTGTTCCCAGGGTGGGGGGTGGGGGCATGGGGGAGCCCTTGCTGGGCCTGCATTCTGAAATAGAATTTCCAAGGTGTCCTAGGAGCATAGGAAGAGGTTGACTTTAGGAAAGACGCTGAGTTCTGGAGGAGGCAGAAGGAAGATGGACACGAAAGGAAGTCCCTTTCACACACGGTCTGCACTTGCCTTGCTTGTTTGGAGATGAGGAGGCTCTTTCCGTGAGGAATGTGCTCCACGAAGGGGACCTGATGCAGGTCCCACCACATGGAGCTGGGAGCACCTGACATCCCGGGAGGTGGAAAGCATGATTTCGATTTTCCTAACCTGATCTAATTAAACCTGATCAAATAGGAAAGTTTGGAGCAACTTGGAAAATTGCCAGTTAGAAAAGAAAAACATCAGAATTCAAAGCTTTTTATACTTAGATTTTTCTCTACATAAACTATGCTTGTGTGTAGGCAAGGATTGGGAAGGGATGTGCAAATGGACATATTTACTAAGATAATGTATTTTAAATGTTTTTATCAAATAACCAATATTTCTTAAAATTTTGCTGCGTCATATTGGCTGACACCATCAGCTTTAATCATTTTTATAAAAAATACGTTTTTATTGATTTCAGAGAAGAAGCGAGAGGGAGAGAGAAACATCAATGATAGAGAATCATTGATCGGGCTGCCTCCTGCACGCCCCCTACTGGGGATCGAGCCCACAACCCTGGCATGTGCCCTTGACCAGAATTGAACTGGGGAACTTTCAGTCCTCAGGCCAACACTCTATCCCAGCCGTGGGCAAACTATGGCCCGCGGGCCGGATCCGGCCAGTTTGAAATGAATAAAACTAAAAAAAAAAGACCGTACCCCTTTATATAATGATGTTTACTTTGAATTTATATTAGTTCACACAAACACTTCATCCATGCTTTTGTTCCGGCCCTCCAGTCCAGTTTAAGAACCCATTGTGGCCCTCGAGTCAAAAAGTTTGCCCACCCCTGCTCTATCCACTGAGCCAAACCGGCTAGGGCCATCAGCTTTAATCTTTAGAACATCCATGCAAGTTTAACAGTTGTTATCGAAGAGAAAATATTAAATTGGTGTCTAGTTTTGATTGAATATGGTAATCTTAGTGAAATCGCAACTTCTTTTTTCTTGTAGCTTTTCCAATCCTTAGGGTGTACCTGAAAACAAATAAAAGAAGAAAATGAAAATAGCTCATAACCCCATTTTGTTAAAAATTTTTTAAAAAGGAGGATGGAAGTACCTATGTTTTTGAAAGCAAAAAGAGTAAAAACCTGCTTCCCACAAAACTTTACCTTTCCCTAGAAGTAACTGGCCCCTGCCCATGCGCTGTCCATCCATCATATTGTAGCAGGATGTGGAGACATATGTCCTTGACCTTTAGCTTGCTCTCCCTGCAGTGAGGAGCTGGATGAGCTACACTACCAGGACACAGACTCAGACGTGCCAGAGCAGAGGGACAGCAAGTGCAAGGTCAAATGGACCCATGCGGAGGTGAGTGACCCTGAGGGCAATTACAGCGGGAGTGATGGCAGTATGTGTGTGTGATGCCCTGGTAGGTGCAATGAAGAGGAGAAGCTGATGAAAGAAGTGGGTGGGTCTTTGATTCTCCCAGTTGCCTCTTCGCATAGCATTCTTGGGGACTCAATATTGAAGACTCCTGTGGGAGGGGGCACTTGTGTCTCTCAGACCTCAGGGCCAGCAATCACTGTTGTGTCTCTTAGAAGCTGGTGTATTCTGCATCATCATGAACAATGATTGTGTTTCTTGTTCTTTAACTGCTAAGAGGTTTAGCCAAGTCTGCAACCCCCTTTATTATTATTGTATCTTTGGACCTCAAGTTCTGAATTGATTTTCTTTTCTTTAGTCAACTTTATGGAAGTATAATTCATATACAACCAAATACACCTTTTAAAAGTGAACAGTTCAACAGTTTTAACAAAACATTCCCTTTGTGTTCCGTCTTTCCCATTCCCAGGCCGCCCCAATCTATCTCTTGGCTTAATTTATGTTGCCTGTTCTTGAATGTCCTATCAGTGAAATTGTACAGTTGTGCTCTTTTCTATTTGGCTTTTTTTGTTCAGCAAAATGTTGTGTGAGTCACGAATTTGTTTGTTTTTATTGCTGAATAGTATTCCATTGGATGGGTATGCCCCATGTTTCACTTGTTGTTGGGCACTGGGGCTCTTTCTAGTTGTTGGCTATTGTGGATAGAGCTGCTGTGAGGATTCTTGATGAGTCTTTTTGAGGATTTTCTCTCTGAGCAGGATATTTAGGTACAGCCATGGGACAGGTGTATGTTTAGTTTTATAGAAACTGCCAGGCCTTTTTCTAGATTGGTTGTACCATCTTAGATCCTGCTGGCCTTATTTATTTATTTATTTTACTGTAGGAGTTGGAAATCCCTCTTCTTATATTATAAAAGACTAGAGGCCCAGTGCATAAAAATTTGTGCACTCGGAGGGGGGTCCCTTAGCTTGGCCTGTGCCCTCTCATAGTCTGGG